TATTAACTAGGTCGGTCTAACGGTTGAGGAATTTAAAGTTTCTACAAGATTACATGTTCCATCAAATTCAAGCCTCACTAGGTGACAAAGAAATGTTTTTTGTAGACAGATTTTGGATAAAATATGAATGATTTTTTCACAATTCTTTTTAGATGAAAAAAAATTATGGTTATGAACTGCACTTTATACTTATCATATTCAATATGTAATTTTAATTCCAAATTATAATTTTATATTTTTGATCTCTTAATTTCATAAAATTTAATCTAATCATTAAATGTTTATCAATTTACGATTAAAATTATAATATTGATTATGATGTGATGTTAAGTGAAAGACATTTAACATCTTAATAATATTTTATTACACTTTTAATCATTATTTTATTTTACTATAGAATAAAAACAAGAGTCAACTTATTGATTATCACGTCATATTAGTCACCGTTACAATATTATAACAACTGAACTACTGTATAAAGTAACAAATTATAAAAAATTAAAATTGGTGAACTAAACTTACAAATAGAATATTATTACACGACCAAAAGTGTAATGTAGGCAAAACTAATTTTAAAATTTTTTTAGATGAAACATATTTTGTCTAAAATATTTTGTTACAAATTAAAAATTTCATTACAAAGATTTTTTAATTAGTTTAACATACATTATTATTATTATTATTATTATTTCTTTAAATATATAATTTTTTCTTTGTCGGTTTTCTTTTCATTTCCTGTTGAATGCTTTTGCACATTTTTACTGGTCTTATTTATTTATTTTTGATTGGAAGTTTTCTTTTCTTTTATTTTTTCCTCTAGTATCTAATAAAAAAATTGAACTTGAACAATACCAAAAATATTTTATTATTAGGTTAAATTGTGGTTTAGCTCTCCTATTAATTTTGGCCATTTAACATTCTACTTTTATTTATGTAATTTTAATCCCTCAATTTTATAAAATTTATAAATTTAATTCTTTCAAGAAACATTATTCTATTAACGTCGATTATGATTTGAAATTAAGGGGGTGTATTGGATTAGGATTTTAAAGGACTTTTTTAGTTCCGGCGCCGTCGTTGCAGCTTCCAGCGCCGTCGTCGTAGCTACCGGCGTCGTCCCTACAGTTTCCGACGAACACCCACTAGTCACCGTTGTTGTGGTGATTGATAAATTTAGATCTTGTTTTATGTTTTTGATTTGTGGACTTATGTGTTTTCGACTTTTGGTTGTTCATGTATGATTAAGATTTGTATTATGACATTTTATTGTTATTTGACTTATTTCAGACTTAGAATGTTGAAATAGTGATATCATATTATGTGTGTTTATGTTTTTTAATATCTTTTAATATTAAGTAAACTCTTACGAGTCTACGAGTCGAGTCTACGAGAGCTCCACGAGTTTGTGTAGACTCTCGAGTTTGACAACCTTGTATATATATATATATATTGTAGAGATTATAATATCAATTTCATCTTTCACTTTTTTCTTTTCTTGACGTGTGTTATAAAAAAAATTACCACTTAAAAGTTAAAATTTTAAGCATTTTTTTGTGTTATATAAAGGAACAAATTCAACTACATAGAATAAAATAAAGCAAGTCAATTAAAGAGAACGAACAGAAAAATAGAAAAAATCAATGACACTATCATTTATATATCGGAGTTTCACAAAATAGGAGAATGAGATGAGAACAATACTACAATATTATATATGAGCAATGAACAATAGTGCAATATTATTAGCAAAGAAAAAATGGAGAAGACAGGAGCATAGAAAAAAAAGATAAAAAAATCACTTGAAAATTCTTGAAAAGTCACTTCAAACAATCCTTCAAAATTCGATGAGTTTGGATGGGATTGTTTTATGAATTTGGTATTTATAGATAACACTAGAAAGTCTTTCAAAATCCCTCTCACACAACAATCCTTTAAAATCCTTATATTTTTGAATACCAATGGATTATTTTTAAGTTGTAAAAAATCTCAAATGAATACCAATGGATTTTAATGGACTCTTTAAAAAATCTTGAAATATTAATCCTGATTGAATACCATTGGATTATTTTTAAGTGACATAAAATCCTGATTGAATACCAATGGATTTTTTTTACTCAAAAAAAGTCTTTTTAAATCCTACGAAATCCTAAACCAATACACCCCCCTAAATAAATGACAAAATAATTAATATTTAATAATATTCAGATTAAATATTATTTTTTTATGTTAAAGTGAAAAAATAAGATGAAAATAAAAATTAAAAATATAATTTAATCTAAATATTATTAAATGTTAATTATCCTATCATTTATATGATATTAGGTCATGACGAATGTTATAATTTTAACGATTAATGAATGAACATATAAAAAAATGATCAACATTGTGGATTTTATAAAATTAAAAGACTAATTGTGGATTTAAAAGTCAAAGAACAAAAATTATAAATTTGATATTATAAGAGGACCAGAAGTGCAACTTAATTTTATTATTTTTATTATTATTAATAATAAACTACCTTTTATTGTTTACTTCATATTCCATTTATACTTCAATATATTTACAATTAAAAATAAAATAAAAGTATAAATTGATCATGTATTATATATATATATATATATATATATATATATATATATATATCGATAGATAGATAATAATTGCTGTATTATTTATCAATTTTCTCGCGAGTTTAATAAATATACATTGAGTGTAAAATGATTTTATAGTATCAATCAATTAAAAGATGGCTTTCGGTTTGAATTTTTTGATAATTAGTATCAAATTCTACAAACTTACCATATATACATGGTACTTTGTGATTGAAAGATAGCGTAAAAAATTTACATTATTGATGCATTTTTTTTTCTTTTAATATGGCGTTATGAATTAATATTTTAAAATTATATATATGGATATAAATAATGGTACGTTCAACGTTGAAGAGGATTGTGAAATTTCAAAGCAAAGTGAACATAAGCATGTAAAAATGAGGTTGAGAAGTGGCACAAAAGAATTCAAGAGCTACAGTTAGAAAATTGGATCCTACTGTGGTATGATAAGCTCTTATGTTATTTTTGTAAAGAATTTGTAAATTTCTTTTTATTATATTCAACTCATTTTTTTTAATAGAGTGACTTTATCAAGTTTTGATTTATAAACATACTATGTATTCCAGAATTATATTTCATGTGTATCAATTTAAAATATGATGATGCTTTAGAATAATATGATTTTATGGAAAACTTATTACTTTATATAATTAAAAATAATATATAGTTATGTTTTTAAGAAATAAGATATACTCTTTTCTTTCTTCTTTAAAAAGTGCCCATATTGGCCAACCCATTTGTCTCAAAACCTGTAAATTGGTTTGAGTTAAAAAACCATTTAGGCAGCTAGAATTGACAATTTTAGTGAAGTAAATAAATTAATCATAGATGGAATTATATCGATGAAATTTCCAGAAAGAGAGAGAGAGGGAGAGAACCCGATATCAGTTGAAATTGAAATGTTTCACATTATTCGGCCTTCGCAGTTCGTACAAGACTTGTTGAAGGAATATTACATTTTAACTACGAAGCCCAACAGGTGAAGACATTAAAGATAATTCCTAACCTAACCAAATTGATTATTATTATTATTATTATTATTATTATTATTATTATTATTATTTTTATTATTGTGTTAGATTTGTTATGTTATGTATATCAGGAACCCCAAGCGTTTGGTTCAGCGGTAGAGGTTGATCCACGCTTAAGCAAGGTCAGGGGTTCGAATCCTGCCTTGTGTATGCAGCCGCGTTAAATCTTGGGGCCAGCTATTCCACCCTTTGAGGTGCTTCCAACGTAGCGAGGAGATTAGTCACTGCTGTCGGCGGTGGATACTCCAAGGACGAACCAAAAAAAAAAAAATGTTATGTATATCAAGATGAACGAGTATTAAATTGGTTAGGTTTGTCTTAAAGTAGTTTAGTTAATTTGGTGGATATCAGGCCAGCATATCGAATAAAACCCAACTACTGTGATCACCTCCAATCAAGATTCATCATAAAATATATATATATATATATATATATATATATATATATATGTATATACGTATTATTTCTTAGATTGAATAACTATGCCATGAGGTTAAAAAGCTATTATTTTATCTTTCTAAGATTTTGGTAAAATACAACATCAGAATTTATTTTATTTTATTGTGAAATTTATATGACTTTTAAGTTTTAATTCAAGGTGTATTTGACTTGAGAATTCATTTAAACTTTGTTTAAACGAACACAAACTATACACGTTAATATTTACACATTTTTTTATGCTATATTTTTCGAATGTCGTTTGTATTGTAGTACTCACGTATGCATGGTGGATTCCTTAGGTAAGGATTTGATATTTAAATACTTGTGCAGGGATTAGGTATAATCATCTAAAAGGTACGCAAAGATATATATATATATATATATATATCATTCCCCTATTTAACTATTTTCATGTCATTAAGCAATAGAGACATCTATGTCTAAGGACGTACGAGAGGGAAAAAAATGGAGGCTTTATTGGAAAAAAAAAATTATTAATAACTAATAAGTCTGTAATTGTTATTTGTTTCTTTATATCATTGCAACCTGAAAATTTTATATAAATATGAGTCCCGAGGGATGACATTATTTTGATTTGCTATATAAGATGGTTTACTTCATATATTTCAATTACTTGAGAAAAGCCAAAGATAAATATTTTTTTTTTAAGGTTAAACGTCTTCATTACTGGACCAATATCTATAAAATGAAAATTAGTTTTGTACTATGAATAAATTTATGCCTTATCTTATACATTATTCAAAAAAAAAAAAAACAATATGGAATAGTGACTTATTTAACGTGTAAGGATTTTTTCTAGAACCATATAATAACTCTCTCTTCCTCTCTCTCATATACACATACATACATACACCCGCAAAGGCACAAACAAAAGAAAACAGAAAAAAGTGTTATATATGAATTTCTGTACAATCAAATTCACTACATGCCAGTGCAAGATCGTAATCATTCAGGTTTCGAGTATTAGCAACTGTTTCTGCTTCCTCAATCTTTTTGGAATCCGAAGACAACTTGTAAGTGTAAACCGGAAGGAAGAATCTCAGAAAGGAAACGATGATAAGCAAATTTAACACTTTAATTAAGATGAATCTTGATTTTGTTATCTTTGTGTTAAAAAATAAACTCATCGGAATAAATTCTCTTCCTTTAACATGGCTGAAGTATATATATTTATGTAGGAGCACCAACAATATCTTAACTGGTACAAAAGTAACTGGTCGGAACAGTAGTAAAGTTAGAAATTCTACAAACTGCCACTCATACTTCACAGTAATCTTTCCAAGACCTTTATCTTTTTGGCTTAATTACACCTTAACAAATTGCTCATAGAATATATACTAAAATTAAAATCTCAACAGGAACAAAGAAATAATTAAGGTCCAACCCAAGACAAATTAATTAACCACCAAAAAGAAAATTGGCACTGACCAAAATTTTGCACCTGTCATGAGTTATGCACACAAACTGTATTTTCTCTTTTGGCGAACTCAGGTATCCTTTAGCCGAAAGCCAGAACGCAAGAAACTGTATGGCACATGTAGTTTTTGCACCAAAGTTGTATCAATGGTTGTAAATTGCAGTTGCGGTATAATTCTTGAGATTGCGAGAAATTATGAGAAAAATATGGTGGGGATGTTGTTGCCGCGAGTGGAAAATACTTGTTGTCATTGCGAACCGCAATTTCAAACCATGTTGCATCATTTGTGTTCATGTCTTCGAACTTTCTTGGAGCTTTGTGGTGAGGTAGAGAGTGGACTAACATGTTGTTGGGTTGGGAACAATAATTCAAACACCTCTTTAGACAGATCAAGTGGGTATTTGCAGTTGCAGTGGTTGTTGTAATAAGATGCTTTTCTTTTCAGAGAGGGTTTGGTTTTTCTTGGTGCAGGTGGGCACTGTGAGGGCACTGAAATCTTGTGGTCCAAAGATGTTGGAGTTTTGAACCCATCTTCTTCATCTTCATTTTCCTCTTTGAGTACTGTTGAAGTGCCTGATTCTGAATCACCTTGTTTGGGAACTCTTATTCTAAAGATCTGTTGGAATTCTTCAGAGTTGGAACTACTGCTTGAAAGGGTTTCTGTGCTCTCACTCAGGAACTCCAACGTGTGTCTCTTCACAATCTCGAAATCGCTCAAATCTTCTTTGGAGAGAAGGAACTCTTGATTTGACATGGTTGATGAGAAGAGGGCAAGTGCATGAAGTGAAGTTAACACTGCTGAAGAAGAAAACAATGAAAAAGAGCAAAAGAAAGAATAGACAAGTAAGAAGGGGTTAGAGATATGTTTAGAGAGAGAGAGATATATTCCTATGGTGGAATATTTATATATATAATAATCATGAGATCAAAATCTCTTTTATTTAATGATTTTTCTTGGCTTCTTTGGCTGCACTTTTGGGGGATGTGTTTCTCTTACCATCTGGGGTTGTGTCCCACAAAGAGAGGACGTTGAGGAGTTTTATAATGTGCATTGGATCTTATACCAATTCATCAAAGATAAAGATACTTGTGCAAACTACTCTCCTTAAACTCATGTACCGGTCACTATCTCACTACTTAAATAACACCTCTCATAATTTATGTAAGTATCTTTTTCCCTAATTAACTTAGGCCTAGGGGTGCTTCTTTCTCACGAATATTACAATTTTTCAATAGATATGAAGTAGCAAATCCTACCCTCTTAATTACCCGGTAACATGGGTTGACTAAAAAAATATATCATTCACTAAAATAAAAAGAAAATGTTAACATATAGTTAAAATTTCCTTTTTTACTAGTATATCCTTCTTCCAACAGAAACTAAATTGTTAATATAAATATTATTTTGAGTATGTACTTGTTTTGTTTTAATTAAAATTTGGTGTAATAATAATATAAATTAATATTCTAATCGAACAAATTTATTTGTAAATATAATGCATATTATTAGTATGGAATTGATGGTGGGTGTATTAATAATTTAATTTCTTTTGCATAAAGGCTATATAACGACAGAAACTAATTTATTGCTTTGTTATTAATAAATGGCTTTCTAATAATATTTAATCTATTTAGAGTTTATTTTTGGTGACATACATTTAGCATTTGAGAATTCGCTTCCTTCCAAAAGTTAAGAATAATGTGTTTAAAATGAACTTACAATGATACATTGTTTAGTTCGGTCCATATATAGCTCTTTTGAGTCAAACAATTTGATTTTACTAATTAAGGGTGTTTGACAAAAGTAGGGAATAAGTTGGTTAAAAATTAAAAAAGTTAGTTGAAAATTGAAAGTTTAAAATTGATAAACCAAATTAATTAAAAATAGTTTGTAAAATTAACCGTTAAACTATGACATAAAATTAAAGGAACAAGGGAGGGAGTCATAATAAGATAATGAAAATGAAAATAAAGAAAATAATGAGATAAAAGTCTTAATATTTTACATGTCTTTAGAAAGAGGATTAATTTATTATATTGAACAACAAAATTATATTATTATAAATTATTTTAACTCTTAAAATATTTAATATTCTAAAAAAATAGTTTTTTATTAAATAATTTTATTTTAAAAACTATCATTAAATTAAAACTCATCATCATTAATTTATACATTTAATTAAAATAAATATTTAATTTATTAATATTTTTAATTAAAA